GCCCCCGCCAGGCCCCGCGGTCCCGGAAACGCTCGCTGTCACAAAGGGGGGGTGGCGGACACGTGGGTGCAGGCTGCCCCTGTGGCGGTCGCAGTGAGCTGGGGTCTCCGGAGAACCGCCCACCATCTCCGCCGGCCCGCTCCTCTGCCCCGGCCTCCCCACCCGTCCAGCCGTGGCAGAAACCAGCTGCCAGGTGGACTCCCAGCTCCGTGAGACCGCCTCCCTCCAGTACGTACGCGCGGCCTGCTCCCTGGACCCCACATCCAGAGGACGCTCCCCCCTGTCACCGCCACCCTCCGCATCCGAGGCCCATTCAGACAGCTGCGTCCGAGCAGCGCCTTGAGGGACCCTTCTCCTGAAGTGTCGGACTTCCAGGGTCCCTCAGCGCCTCTCTGCCTCTCCTCCGTAGGTCTCTCCACCTCGTTCGGACCTCTACACGACCATGTCCATCCTCTACGTCTCCCCTCATCCAGATGCGTTCCCCAGCCTCCGAGCCCTCATAGCGGCTCGCTATGGGGAGGCTGGAGAGGGCCCGGGCTGGGGAGGACCCCACCCTCGCATCTGTCTCCAGCCACCCCCTACCAGCCGGACTCCCTTTCCCCCACCTCGCCTGCCTGCCCTGGAGCAGGGACCCGGTGGCCTCTGGGTGTGGGGAGCCACAGCTGTGGCTCAGCTCCTGTGGCCAGCAGGTCTAGGAGGCCCTGGAGGTAGCCGGGCAGCTGTCCTTGTCCAACAGTGGGTCAGTTATGCAGACACGGAGCTCATACCAGCTGCTTGTGGGGCAACACTACCAGCTCTGGGACTCCGAAGCCCTGCTCAGGACCCCCAGGTGAGAAGAGAAGACAAACCGGGGAGGCAGACATTCTGAAGAAGGAAGCAAGGATTGGAATGAATTATGAGACAGGAAAATAGAGGAAAAAACTAGAGTAGGGCTTTGCCTTAATGTACTTAAAACTCTGCCTCCTGCAAGGTATCATGGTCTGTAATCCTAGCTACTCTGGAGGCTGAGATCTGAGGATCACAGTTAAAAGCCAATCTGGGTAGGAAAGTTCATGAGACTTATCTTCAGTTAACCACCAAAAAGCTGGAATTAGAGCTGTGGCTCAAGTGGTAGAGTGCTAGCCTTAAAACAGCTCAGAGACAGTGTCCAGGTCCTGAGTTCAAGGTCCATGATCAGCCAAAACGAACAAAACTGTGCCTCTGGGCTGGGAAGTTGGCTCTGGTAGAGTGCTAGCCTCACATACATGAGGTCCTGGGTTCACTTCCTCAGCACCACATAAGCAGAAAAAAAGCCTGAAGTGGCGCTGTGGCTTGTGATTGGGTGCTAGACTTGAGTTGAAGAGCTGAGGGATAGCACCCAGGCCCAGAGTTCAGCCCCCATGACCAACCAAAAAACACAAAAAACTGTGCCTCCTGAAGAGTAGCAGCATATGGTGAATGCTTAGTATTTCTGCAGTGAGGGACTGAACAAATGAATTTGCCATGTATATCTGGACTTGCTTCCTCATACTGTGATCATCCAGCTAAAATAGAGTGAGTGCCTTTCCTCAAGTTATACTCTCAGCCAACATATTTTTCTTCATAAAAGTTCAGAAAAAAAATAGAATAATGCTTCACATATTTGCTCATTTGTTGTTCCCTAAGTGGGAAATATTTGTTGATGCTCTAAATCCTGCAATTACTAGTTTTCCTCATATGATCCTTACTCCAATTTCCACGCAAAAAGTGTTCAGTAGGGAGTTGTCGGATAAATCAAAAATACGTAGATTTACATATATAACAGCTATACTTTTCAGGGCACCTTGCGTGCTATGCACACATTCTACCACTGAGCAACATCTCCACTTAGAAAGTGAGATTTTTTTTTTGTTATTGTTGTTGTTCTTTTGGATTTTTTTTTGGTTGGTTGTGGGGCTTGAACTTGAGGCCTGGGTGCTGTCCCTGAGCTCTTTACTCAAGGCTAGCACTCAACAACTTTGAGCCACAACACCACTTCCTGTTTTCTGGTGGTTAATTGGAGATAAGAGTATTATGGACTTTCCTGCCCAGGCTGACTTTGAACCCTGATCCTCAGATCTAAGCCTCCTAAGTAGCTAGGATTACAGGCATGACCCAACAGTGCCCAGATTAGAAGGTTTTTGTTTGTTTGTTTGGGTTTTTTGTTGTTGTTGTGAAGCTTGAACTCTGGGTATGGTACTGTCTCTCAGGTCTTCAGCTCAAGGCGAGCACTTAACCACTTGAGCCATAGTGCCACTTCTGATTTTCTGATGGTTAATTAAGGGAATAAGAGTCTCATGGACTTTCCTGCCTGGGCTGACTTTGAACTGTGATCCTCAGATCTCAGCCTCCTTAGTAGCTAGGATTACAGGCGTGAGCCACCAGCACCGGGCTAGAAGTATTTTTGTTATGATCATTTGTATGAAGAAGGAACTGGCCTCAGATGGTGATTTTGGGGAGAGAAGGGAAGCCATATAGGATGGGGTGAGACTGAAGCGGGCAAGCTTTGTTTCACACCCCTTTCTCTTCTTGCCAGGCTGCATTGGGGGCCCTGGGTAAGGCCCTGAGCCCCTTGGAGGAGTGGCTTCGACTGCACACCTACCTGGCTGGAGATGCCCCCACTCTGGCTGACCTAGCTGCTGTGACAGCCTTGCTGCTACCTTTCCGATACGTAAGTCACTTGAGTCTGGGGGAAGGAACCACAGCACTTCTGTTAGACTTCACTGTAGGGTGAATGATAGTTATTTCTGTTCCCTGACAGGTCCTGGACCCCTCTGCCCGCCGGATCTGGGGTAATGTGACTCGCTGGTTTATCACTTGTGTCCGGCAGCCAGAGTTCCGAGCCGTGCTGGGAGAAGTGGTTCTATACTCAGGGTCCAAGTCTCTCTCTCAACAGCCAGGTGAAGGGGGTTGGGGGTAAGGGCTTTTCTGAGGTCTGCCATGTAACCCATGTTCTGCGTGTGTGTGTGTGTGTGTGTGTGTGTGTGTGTGTGTGTGTGTGTCCGTGTCCGTGTCCGTGTCCGTGTCCGTCCTAGGGCTTGAACTGAGGGCCTGGGTGCTGTCCCTAAGCTTTTGTGTTCAAGGCTACCACTTGAGCACAGCTCCACTACTGGCTCTGTGTGTGTGTGTGTGTGTGTGTATAATTGGTGATAAGAATTTCATAGACGAGGGCTAGGAAGGTGGCTCAGTGGTAGAGTGCTTGCCT